CTGGAGGGAGAGGGCGGCCCTGCTCGGAGGCGGTGGCCCTGCCGGGAAGAGGTGACACGGGACTTCATATCCGCAAGAGAGCTCGGAAGGGCCGTCTGAGGAGGGTGGCAGCGAAGAAGCTGGTTAAAAAAAATAAAAGGAAGAAAAAGAGCTGGGGAGATGCTTCCCAGGTGGATGGCGAGAACGGAGCCTGCCCCTGGGGTGGCGAGGTCTGTCCCCCTGGCTTGCAGGACCCCATTTTCCCCAGAGCCCGGGGCGGTAGCAGCGCCCGGACGGCCGTGGGTCTCGTAGGACATCCGAGGGGTGCGGGCGGAGCAGGGGGAGCCGAGGGCGCGGCCGGGCTGCGCTGAGGAGGAGCGGGGGCCCCGTCATGGCTTGGGCCGGCGCCGCCTCCGCTCCCGACACGTCGAGGGCACTGCCTGAGGCGGCGGCGGGGCCGGGCCAGGCCCGAGGCTGCTCGGCCCGGCCACAGGGCCACTGCCGGGCCAGGCAGCTCCCGACAGCCCCGCAGCGCTCCCCGGCCCGGCTATGGGGCGGCGGGGCCTGGGGAAGGGCCGGCAGGGTTGGGTCGTTCCCCTCGGAAGCAGCGCATCTAAGGCGAGATACATGGGAATGCTCCCAGGCATCCCTCAGAGACCTCCTGCGGCGGCCTCGGCGAGTTTTAGTCTCCTCGTCTCCAAAGGAGTCGAGAGCAAGGACGCGCCTCGTGGTAGCCCTGCTGACACCAAGCGCACTGGCAGGCACCTGAGAACCCCCGGAAAGGGAGGTTGGCACCACGGCTCGGAGGTGTCCGCCACTGGACACCTTTCCCACCTAAGGGAACGGTGTTCTCGTTTTCCTTCCCACCGCGGCTGCAGTGCGGGGCTGCCGAGGGGGTTATCACCTGGGAAATTGGATAGTCAAACCTAACCGCTTCTGCGGGAACCGCGAAAACACAAGGAACCAAAAAAAGAAAAGAGGGAGAGAGAAGGAAAAAAAAAAAAAAAAAAAAAAGGAGGGAAATTATAGGTCTCAAATATTCCTTAATTTATCTGCCTAGGCTTCCAAGCAGGAGGGAAAACTAGCTCTTATCTTTTTTGCGAAAGAAATTTCTGTGCAATCCCGATCGGAGCAACATCTCTCCACTGCCAAGCAGCTCTCTTTCGAGTATGTTCACATTAGGTATGATGTTCATAATAATAACAACAACCCCGAGAATTATGAGACAAGAGCACGTTTGACAGTGTTTGAGAAATTCAAATACAGCTGCACCGGCTTTGTCTCTGGTTCAGTCACATTTATTTCCCTAAGCTAGGCAGACAGCCTGAGTGAAGCATGACAATGAGGTTTGTAAATAGCAAATGGAAGGGTTTGCGGGGTTGTTGGGTTTATGTTGTTTTTTTTTTCTTCCTCCCCTCCCTGTTTGATTTTACTCTCAATCCAAATAACCTTCCTCAGTGAATGTTTCAGACAAGAGAATGTGAGCGGGAGGGGACGAGGGGGGCTTATAATTGCAGGTTCCCTTTGGAGCTGGAATTAAAACGCTGACGGCGTGTGTTGCAGAGGAAAGGTGCAGAGGCAGACTCCGCTCTGACTGCAGGACGGCTGTGTTGTCACTGCTACAGCGTTTATTTACAGCCAAGCACTCGAGAGCAAACGACGCTTCAAAAGCGCTGAAGTTGGGGGCCCTACACTCTGTGCCGAGATGCCACGAGCACCCCAGGCGGGAGAGGGACCCAGGCCCAGAACCCGCTCCCTCCGCTGGGACCCCGCAGCCGCCCGGGAGAGCCCCGGGACCGGCGCTGCCTCTGGGCAATTCCCCATTCGCACCCTTCCTGCGCGTCCCGAAGTGGGGCTGGAGATAGGGGGAGATCAGCTGGAGACGGCTTTAAAATGTCTTGGTAGAGCGAATAGGTGGGCATTAGGACAGCTAATTTCGATCGGTTACTCTTGCCAGGTTCAAGTGCCTTGTGCTTGGCACTGCGCAGAGACCTGTACCTCAACGAAAGCACTGAGGATGGGGTGAAATTAATAATTTCTTTTCCTTTCACCAGAATCCTCTCCCTTACTCAAGTCAGGTTGTCACTTCTGCAGACTTCTCCTGCTTTCGCTGGTTGAGAAATTTATTCCTGTCTTTTATCAAGCTCTTACTCTCCCCTTCCTGTAGCCTTGTCTCAGAAAAAAAAAAAAAAAAGAAATGAAAAAATAAAAACAAAAAACACACCAACAAAACAAGCCAACAACCACCCAATTTACTTCAGCTACTTAGACAAGTTAAAATACATTTGCAAAAATGTCTGCAGCTCTTCAAAACTTTCCCTGCTTCCTTATCAAAGACATCTTCCCAGCGGAAGATTTGGGAGGGCTTGTTTATTTGTTTTGGGCTGTCTCAAAACTCTCTCAGTCTGTCACTTGTTATTGCCTAGCGTGCCCATCTCCTCACGGCCGGCCTCCCTGGGAGATGCTGTGGTCCTGGCAGCTGGATCCGAGCTGAGAACTTCACCTGCTGCGCAGATAAACCCAAAGTTTCCCGCAGAGACCATTGTGCCTTGCTAAGTTTTACTGAACACACCAGTAACTATTTTTCTTGGGCTCTTTTTGGCCACCGCGGCTTCAGCAAAAGCCTTTTCTTGTGGCTGCCTTTGCAGCCCCTATTCATGAGAAAGGGCAGGAGACGGACGTCGGAATCCTCATGTTTTCCTGGGAGGCGGGAGAGAGGAACGAATGGAAACCTTTGTCGCTTCGGGAAGCCCGTTTCGAAGCCGACGAAGCCTGTCCCTGCTCTCCGTAAGGCAAGGAACGAGACTGCAATAATAGAATACAAACATGTGTTTTGTTTGCCATTAAGTCGATAGACCAGACAAGGTCTGCCCCGGGGAAAAGATGACTTGAGCTGTTAATGAGAGCTGACACTAGGATTTAAATAGTGAGGGCTCCTTTAGCTAGCCGTGTCTCCTCAATATTGCTTTTTGTTTTTTCCTCCCCTCTTCTTCACAGGTTTGGGAGGTGCCCCAGTAGTGCGCGCAGGGACGGTGCCTGACAGCGGGGACATCTCTCAGAGTGAAGGTGGCAGGAACTGCTATTCCGGCGCGTCTAGTTTTTTGGGGTTTTTTTATGGAGGTCCTTTGGAGGCAAGAGGGGGAGACAAAAGTGCTTATAGTTCTCTTCTCGATGCCCCGTGTAGGTAAATGTAAAACCGACCCGTTTTGTGCTGGTACCAGCACTGCACAGAAAGCTTTATGGCGTTTGAGGCGTGGCACAGCGCTGGCTGAGCTCACAAGAGCGCGGCCCGTGCGGGGGGCCGGGGCTGCGGGGCGCGTTCCCACCGGGGCCGGGCCGGGCCGGGCCGGTGCTGCTGCCGCGGGCGCTGCCGTGCCGGGCCGGGCGGCGGGCGGTGCTGGCGGCCCGCGGCCACTAGATGTCGCCGGCGCCGTTCGGATGGCGCCCGCTCCCGCCGCCGCCGCCCGCCCCGGCCCGGGCCCCGCTCCTCACCGCGCCGCTCCACGCGGGCCCGCCCGGCCGGAACCGCACACGGCCCCCGCCTTCTCCGCGGGGACCGGGCCCCGGGGGAAACCTCGGAGTCCCGGGGCGGCAATGCTTCCTGCGGCCCCGGCCGGCGATACGGTGGCCTGCTGGGTGAGGGGCTTTATGGTGTGAATTTCCACGATAAATGGGTCTCTGCGGAAAACGCGCATGAGGTTCGAGCCGGGAACATGGGCAGCGTGCTCCCGTGGAGATGTAAGGAGTTTGTGCTTCGGCTGGTTTGCAGGGGGCAGAGCGCTGCGGTGCTTGGCTCCCACGGGAATGTGGTCCCACCGGTAAAGGCTACTGCGCGCACTGGGATCCCCCACATGGAGCTCCGGTGCCGCCAGAGGCAGATGCGAAGCACGAAGTCGGCGGCTGGCCCTGGGAAAAGCTCCCAAGCTGAGCATTTCTGTTGTGTGAAGTGCCCGCATTAGCAGCCCGAACACGTAGGGAAAGGCTGACATCTGCGATTTGGTACGAGGCACCCGAGAAATGACAGACCTCCCGGTTCAGAGGGGCGCCCCCGCCTCGGCTCCCGGCGGGGGAGGGACCCACGGAGCCCCGGCGGCGCCTGCGGGAGCGGCTTGCCCCAGGGAAGGAAACCTCCTCTCCTGAGCTTTCCTCAAATCTGAAAACAGCTAAACGACAGTCTCTAGATTTGGAACGTTCACGGTCAATGCCCAGAAGTGAAAAGATAGAAGGGGACCTTCGGTATAAACTTTGAGCCTGATTCCAGTGGAAGTACATAGAACAATATTTTCCAGGCTTTTTGTCCCCGGTTTACAAAATAACACGTAAAATCGAGGTTGCACCGTGGGTCATTTTACTCAGCCTTTGTGCCAACGCACCTCTGCCTTTTGACTCCTCACTGTATAGTTTATACACCACCCCCCTACCACCCTCCCAAATTTTTCAAAGCCCATTCACATCACTGATCTGAAGTAGAAAGAAACCAGAGCTACTTTCTTTTACAAGTGCGGGCGAGAGCCGCCAGGGCAGGAGAGACCCTTGGGAGCCGGCAGCGAAGGCGCGGTCGGACCGAGCTGCGCTCTCCTCACGGAAGGAGGGACCCTCTCGGACCGGCGTGGGGTCCGCCCGGCTGTGAGCACGCACACACACACCAGGAGCAGAAATTTGAAGACTTGTCGGGGCGGGACAGTGAATAAAAATTGAAAATAAGAAAAGAGAAAAAGAAAAAATCGTTCGGGGTTAAACCCGAAAATAGCAATTTTTCAAAGCCCCCTGAGAGAGGAGTCCTGAAAGTTTCTTCTCGCTCTCTTCGTATTTTCTGTAGTCTGTAGTTTGTACTGGGCTGTTGGAGTCGCGTCACAGGAGGACATATGCCATTCCCAGGGATCTGTGCTTATGTGGTCAAAATAGTAAAGGGCACTCTCGTTACTTCGATAGGTTTCCGAGCGCTTGCTGGGCTACGGCTAAATGGCACCTTTAAGTACCGAGATACGGGGCAAAGGATGCATTGTAAGAACGGGTGGGAGTATGCTTGGCAGAGCTGACATTTATTGAACTATCCAAAATTTTAAAAGTTAGTTACAGATAAAGAAATGTAAGGTATTCCATGACACAATTGTTGCACGAACTGCCTTCAATTAAGTTGTTTTGTTTTCAGGGCTGTTCTGCAAGCGTCTTCCACACGGTTGGTGGAAAGGAGAGATCTCATGGGCTGTTCTGCATTTTCAGAGACGATCAAGTCAATCCTAAGATGGGGGGAAAAAAAGTCGCTTTAGAAGGAGAAAAACTGCTGCTTCGGAGACTTCAATGAATTATTTTAAATGCCGTATCTCAGAGAAAAGGCCTCCTATAACAGATTCCTAGATCGTGTCAAATTATAATGAATTGAATCACAAGAAGCAATTACAAAGCAAATATTGTGATCGGTGTTGTGGGTAAAATCGGAGCCGGATTTATAGAGGAATATTAACTAAGATTTTTTTTTTTTAAATCAACATTGATTAGAATGGTGTTAAGCCTAGAGACCTCTTCCTGTAGATGGCGTCCTTTGGGTACTGAGTAATCAATAATAGTACTGTCATGCTCAGGAGACTTTATTAAGCTTTGGATAGTAAAATAATTAATATATATTTTAGTTATATTTTTATTGAAAGTTAAAACCCCTGGATTTATCGTAAGCAAAAGTGTGTTTCTCCTTCACGTGGATGCAAATAAAAACTGTTTGAATAAATAAGTTCTTTCTGAACATTTTGTTGTCAAAGTGTTAAATGTCCCCGTCATTTTTATTCAAACACTAACATGATTACAGCCAATTATATATTCACCACTGTTCTTTATTTTAGAGTAATTGTACTTGTCACTAATAAAACAGAGACATAATGGATCGCTACTGTTCTGAATTTTAAAGCAATTTTCTGTAATTTGATTGAATTATACATCATCTCCACTACTTTTTTATTTCTATATTTTGAAATCCTATTTTCTTGAAAATTGCAGTTCTATTCCTGTTTTGTTGATCCTGAAGTAACGAAACCTTCTGTAACATTTATAAATAGAGCCTCGTCCCTTTTGAAATGTGGAAAATCATTATTTCAGTCCCAACATACTGAAAGCTTTAGATTGAAAATCTGAAAGTCCAGAGAAGTGCCTAAACCAGACCGTTGGCTCAACACGCTGTCCTTGGAAATGAGAAGCAGAACAAGCAGGGAGGAAAAATTCTCCAGTGTGCATAGGAAGGATTGATGAGCTTACTGCAATGATTTGAATTTCTTGGGGCTCAAACATAGAAACACATAAAGACAAGAAGTTCAGTTGCTAGTATTTACCACGGAAGAAAAAAGACACGGGGAAAATACACGCCAATTGCATTCCTGAGAAGATTTAGAGACGCTATACTGTCCGTATGTTCTTTTAGGCAGGCGATTATAGGTGAGAAGCCCAGGACTGACTTGGCTGTCTTTAGGAACAGACAATAGAGAGGCAGAATGATACAGAAATATATGGAGATCCCGTAAGCACATATAAAACAGTGTGGTGGGTTATTCTACTGCTCTTCGGGTTGTTTCTCTGAGAATGAGCTCTCAGAGGGCTGGAGTTCTGTTGTTGTTTTCCAGAGCCGAAAGCATGCCTTTAATTTAGCAATTGTATCAACCATCAACGCGGAGAGGTATGATCTGCGTTGTCGACAAACACAAATCAAAAAATGATACAAAGGCTTTCACAAGTTAATTTCATCTGACAAAACACGTGCCCACCACAACAGATAAAGTTGAACTACCGTTTGCAAACCGTGCGATTGCGTAAAAAGGTGTTTTTTAAGTACAGGCAAACACGAATGTTTTCTCCATTACTTTGTAAGGTAAAGCTAAGGGAAGGTGCAGGAATGAGCGGGTGGCTCACTGTGAGATGCTCTCAGTGAAGCTCTAGCGGGACACGATACCGACCTTCAGTGAGAACCACGCTTGTTGCTTTTGCGGATTCTCTCTTTAGTACAGCCACAGGAATTAGCTTGAAGTCGCCTTGGAAGGCAGAAAAATAATAATAAAAAAGAGCTATTTTTCGTTTAATTAATTCCAAAGTGTACAACGACTTGAGAGACTTTTCTCTGCCCTTTCATTGATGTTTGGAAATGAATGCGAAAATTAAGTGTAATGTCACCCTCTGCAATATTCGGCTAGAAGACAAATGGAAATTACTTATTTGTTGGAGTTTCCGTAGCTACGGCATGATTTCATTACTTGGTGGCGTGTATAGCTCGATTATAACAAGCATTGTTTTCTAAAAACTCCTAGGAAACATAACCTCAGTGTGTGTGAGCGTCTATGCGAGTGCCTCATCTAAAAGATGGAGAGAAGAAACCACACCAGGGGGATGCATTCCGGGAGAAATCTTTCTACGTTTTTCTTCTCCGCATTGTCAATGCCGGGAGAGTCTGTCTGCAGCCACTTCATTTTCTTGGTCATACTATTAGCGAGGCAAAACTACAAGCCCCAGGCTTTAGCGAGGCATGGTCCGTGCTCGGTGGGAGGGACACAAATGGGATTTAACTTGTTGCCAGTCATTTTTGTGTGTTTGTTTGTTTGTGCTGGTGCTTTAAAAGCGAAACAAATTCCAGAAACAAAGCGGGGGGGAGGGGGAGGCTGGGGAGAGAGGGAGGAGGAAAACAAGCTCTATATAAAAGGCATATCATATTAAAATAATACATGGACACACCCACTGGTATCAAGGGTACGATATCAGCCCTTCCCCAAGAAACTTATTTCTAAGTGGTAGCGGTTATAATCATCCAACAAGCCCCTTGCCATCACTCCCCCCTCCCTCTGCTAAAGAAAGGAAGAATGAAAGAAAGAAAACATGGAGACCACCCTGCCCGATATAAAAAGTATTCAGAACAAGCTACACAAAGAGGCACATCCTGCGAGCCCTGCTTGTGCCAGGACACCGAGGAGCGAGCAGGGTCCGCTTCCCGAGCAGTCATTGGCGCTAGCGCCAGCCCCACCATCCCGACACCCGCCAAGCGCGGCTCCGGCCGCGAGCGAGAGCGGCACCGCCTCACGCCTGAGCCCCGGCAAGGGCAAAGTCATCAGCATCCTCACTCCGGGGCTGCCCAACTCCCTCCCTAGAGCGGCGTACGGTCCGTTGTGCCTTTCTTTCTACATCGGGCATTTTGCTGCGGTGACAAGGGAACCCAGGGGCGGGGGAAGATAGGAGGATAGGGGAGGAAGACGCGCTTTTGTAGGCCCTAAAAGATGGATCCGCAGCTGACCCGGCCGAGTCCGAGACCCCGGCGGGCCGAGGGCTGCGGCGAGGCGCGGTGCGGGGACTGGGCCGCGGCGCACGGAGCGGCGGCGAGCGGGCAGCGGCGGGCGCGGCACGGCCAGGTAGGACGGGCGGATGGGCACCCCCGGGCACCGGCGCCCCCCCGCGCCTGGATGCCTTTGGCGGAGCGAGGGAATGGGAACAGCGCTGGGAGAGAGACCCTATCTGTCCTTCTGCTGAGGAAGGGGTGGAAGCCGGAGAAGGGGGGCGGGTGGAGGGGGGGAGAAAGGGCGTCTTTTCTCTCGAGTCACCGAAAAACTGCAAAGCCAGATTCATGTGTCATTTGCCAAAGATTACGTTTATAGGAGGCTGAGGAGCTTTAAAACAACACCATGAAAATATTCCAGCAACAGTTTCTTAGGAGTCAAAGAGCAGCTAGAGGTCTTCTTCAAGCACTACTTGGGGTGTGTATTGTTGTTTTTCTTTTTTCTCCCCAGGTCCCCCGTATTTTATTTCACATTCTTTGCTTCAATATCACAACGCCGACAAAAGCACCGGCCTAGAACGTTTTAAACAGTAAACCCAACAGAATATAAAATTATGTATTTAAACCTCGAGAACAAACAAGGTTTTTAAGTTTTTCATTTCTCCCTTGCATTTTATTATTGTCGTCTGCATAACGCTGTGGATAACTCCTAAAGGATATTTTGTATTTTTGTTTGATTTCTGAATTAAGGAGAGCTTTCATTACACAGATAGACCTATTGCCTATGCAGGTGTAATGGCTCTTTTCTGCACACTGGCATATAAAATAATAGCGATATTTAGGATCTAGAACCCCGCAGATCTTCAAGTTGGCAGTGAGTATAAAAATATTCTGGTCTGAAAAATTATGGCAGCGGCAGCTGAACACAATAAATCTAGTGGATGCTCTACACCGCCTAGATAGGCTTTCTGTGGATAGTATTCTACAGCTACAGGAATAAATAAATAAAATCTTCAGCCTTTAATTAAGGCGATTTAATTCAGACCTCTCCACTCCGCGTAGTCGCCGTGGGAAACGTATACTCCAATGTTTACTCGGATCTCTTTCTGTCACTATTCTGTCTTGTTTTACGCTTACGACATCAGCAAAGCTTTCTGGCCCCTACAGCCATTGTTTCCCATTTCGACGTTCTGCGTTCAACCTCTGGCCGCCCAAGAAACTCCCTAAAGTTCAACAGGAGGGGAACTCAGTGCACTTAGTTTATTAATGTCATTGTTTTAACGCTACCTCTCCTCTAGTTGCTCAGGCTTCTCTAAGATAGACAGTGCCCCGCTGGCGGTTCCTTATGGTACAGTGCAGCTTCTCAAAAGATCATCGGATGGAGAAATTTAGCTCATTTTGAAACATTTAAGTAACTGAGCAATTAGTTCTGAATGGGTGGGGGGAGGGAAAACTAGAGAGCTTAAATAAGGAGAGCAGGGGGGAGAGACACAATACAGCTAGCCCAAAAACAACAGGGATGTGTATGCATGGGAGGAAAACTTAAAAGGTTTGTATTTAAAGTGTGCTTGCAAGGTCTTCGGCACAATATGTGCTGCTCTCCTTAAAGGGGCACCGAGTGCCAATAACCATTAGTCATCCAGTAGGGACCTTTCATTACAGATTTATCTTTAGGTGGAGTTCCCCGAAGGGAACATAGCTGCGGATTTCAAACCCGGTCCAGTTCCAGTCACACAGTGCGTACCTGCTTCAATAGAAGGGAGAGATACTTACCAGAGTTTCGGGAGTGCGCGGATAGCACCAAGGTCTCAGCAGTGCTCCTTTCCTCTGCGGAATACTATCTTGCATCCGAGGCAGTTCCCAGTCTATATTTGATATTAACAGCCTCAAATACGAGGCTCTCCCATAGACATTTTTTTCCAGGGTTTTCAAGCAAATTTCTCGGTGCCACAATGTTATGATGGAAGGATGCTGAAATGACAGGCCTCGTAGACGCTTGTCTTAATCATCGGCTTCTTAATTTAGTTTTAGTGCTGTGGTTTTGTGTGTGTGCGCGTGTGTGTCTGCGCTTGTGTGCGCGCAAGAGAAGCCTCTGACAACCTGCAGCTTCCTAATGACTGACGAGGCAGGGCTGCTGCAGCAAAGTAACACTTCCCTGGTGTGAAGACCTCTTACTGGGAAGTTTAGTTCACTACTGTTCTCGCAATCCTAATCGTATAACTTGTAACTAAAACCCAAGGAAGAAGGATATAGCATGCTAAATAGACTAACTTCTAATCACTAGAAGCTGTTGAGGATTAACTGGAAGCTGACTAGAGGCGGACACCTAAACTTAAATCTACAAATTCAGAGAGAAGTCCGGACCATTGAATGCTGCTTCCTCTCCCTCTTTGCCTCCATTCATCCATCCACCTTCAGTCCCATTCACCCCTCTTCAAAATGTTTGACTACCTCTTTCTCTTTGTTAGCGCACTGCTCCATCCCCATTCGCCATGCCTTAGCAGCAGGGTATCAGTATCTGCTGAGCAGTCCTTACCTTAATTGCCCAGGTAACCTGGAATAAATAAGGCAAGGTTATAGTCAAGGGGGAATAGAATTATATAAGCGTACATGGAGGCATTTACTGTACCGAATGTGATATTACTGATTGTTAAACCAAAGTGTCCGGACTCGTTTCATGGAAGCATGATGCCATCGAAGCGTGGTTACTAAATACCCTTTCTTCATGGCTGAAAAAAATCTCATTCATTTCTTAAGCTGTCAGTACATTTTAGCAGCTTAACTGCCTTGAAAGAGCCCGAGAGTACAGAGCCACTATACCCGTGTGAAGGGGGATTGAAGGCTGAAGCTGGGGCGGGGGGTGGTGCAGGGGAAGTACGCTATATGCATTAAGTGTACATTGGAGAGGGTCTTTTCTTCCTTTAGCCTTTAATTTAAAAACGAAATAAAAATTAAAATAATAATAATAAAAAAAAAGGTAGGGGGGAGGGCGGGGGCAGAAAAGTATGTGGTTGAAACACTATCCTTACGAGTTATACCCAAGAGCTGCACGGAGATCGCTGTTGAATGGCACTTCAGCCAGGACGTTTCAGCTCAGCTATTCAGCCCCATCCTGATCCTGGAGCTGGATACTCTCGGTCCATCCCCGCCGCTCGGTTCGGTGCATCCACAGCGTCGACGAGCACGCAGGTG